AGTTGTAGATGTCCCTGCCCATTGCAGGGGGGATGGACTAGATGACCTTTAAAGGTCCCTTCCAACCCAAACCGTTCTGTGATTCTATGATTTAAATCCTGACTCATGAGGTTTTATCTTCCTTTCAGTTCTGCGCTTTTTTTGGTATGAAATAACCACACTAATTCTGGATATTCTTGAATATTCTTGTTATCCATGTGCACGTCTAATCCCTGTTTGAATCCTGATAAATTGCTTATCGTCAGCAGCATCAGTGCTCTATTTGTGCAGTACATGAAGTATCAATTTTCGTATTTTTTAATAGATACTTTCATATTTTCATTTTTATACTTCTAAATTTGCCACCTTTCAGCTTCGCTCTTCCTATAATCAGATAGTGAATGTTTCTAGTTTAGTTACCCTGTTACTAATTGAAGCATTTCTCTCCTTTCTGGGGTAAATAATAAAATTCTATCCAGTCTCTTCGTACAACAGGCTTTCATTGCCCCAAATGCTTGCTTTCTTTGAACACCCAAATGCCACAGAACCCATTTTTAAGACAGGCTCCCAACCTTTGCACTGTAATTCAGCTGATATATAGGGTCTATCTATACAAATATAATTTTTAAAGATTACCTTGTGTCTTATTACCGTTGCAGTCTAACACTTTAGCTTATCTTGCCATGGACGCATGTTAAGCAGAAATCTGAGGGAACTATCTGCAGTGCCCAGGCCCCTTTCCCAGGTTGATGCAACTAACGAGACAGGTTTATTTGGATTTTTCTACAGCGTGTATAATTGTTTCCCCTGCATTCTGCAAGTGTTTGTGTTTATTAGCATCCATCTTCTGCTGTCCTGGTGTAAATTCAGCTAGTACAGTTAGTTGTTTTCTGCTGAACTTCTTTCTCCCAATCCTGATTTGGCTAAAACAAATTACTGGGTGTCAGCTGAATGTTTCGCTGTTTGGCTCTTCACCTCCGGAATTTCAGATCATTAGTAAGTATGCTATTAAGAAAGTATTAGTAAGTGTAATACTAGCTCTTTTGAACTAACAAAGAAAATTGTGTATTACACAAAAGTCACGAGTAAAAACGTCTCTAACCAGGTAATCTCATCAGCTTTCTTAACCTGTGTTCAGAGATCATAGCCGGGGTGTTCTAGGCAAGCAGACTCTGATTTTCCAACTCTGGTTGTTAATAGCTAACTGTTTTTTCAGATAGTTTCATTTAGAATACTTGGTTCAAGATGAACTACAGCAATTACTAATTTTTTTCTCAAAGTGGGGGTGTGTGTCCTCTCCTGACAAGACGGAAAGTAGCCTGGAAACAGAGGAATGAGAAGAAAATGTGCTCCCTCTGCTCCCATATTCCTTCCCTGCCCCGGACACTTGTTCCCCACCAGGACACTTTCAGATCCCCGCCTCCATTCAAGAAGTCCCAGTGTGGTGGCCGCCAGGGAAATCAGTGCCAGGGAGCGGAGTGGGCCACTGCAAACGGGGCAGGAGGAGCAAAAGGATGGGCTGGCAGGGTGGGCCGGAGCACCCACAGGAACAGAAAGGCACTGGGGTGGGTACTGGTCAGCAAAGCTTGTCTAGACTAGCGATATAGGAGAGCTTAAAAAGGAGGTGTGAGGATTGGCATTCATTTGTATGTGTGGGGAGGTTCTGGTTTCAAACCAAACATTTCATCTCTTACTTTGTAAATTGCAAGAACTAATAGGAATCAACAACTTCAATTTCAGCCATCAGGGTCTTATCCATACACACAACTTAATAAGTATTTATGTTCTAGGTGCCTGGTCTTGTATATCTTGGCAACCTTAATCATACCGTACTGTGGAAGCAAACATGAAACAATGTAGTAATCAGCGTATCTGGAATGGGATGTCGAGATGCTCAAAAATCTGGTTCCTTCTTTTTCTCACAAGTCATGGTAAAAGGTAGTAGTGAAGATGTTAGAATACAAATATTGTGACGTATAAGAGCAAGGTAAATTGAACAAATTCAGGAGTACTTAGAACCTGCAAATAACATGAGACTGAAAGCTTGTCCAAAAACTACAGGTCACGTTGGAAACTCACTTAAACTGCATGTGTCAAGATGTAAATCTTGCAGGCAGCTTCCTGCGTTGCTTGGTGCTTACTGTATGTTACAAGGAGGTTCCTTTTAGATGTTTGCAAGTCACATTAAGAATTTGATTTCCAAAATGTTGGTGTTGTAGAGGAGAGAGCACCTCAAACAGTTAATGCTTTTGCTGATTACATATGCAAAAGATGATGCAAGTGTAGAAACCAAGCTTGTAAAACCAGAGGTCCTTTGCTGAATAGTTTATGAGAGGATTGGACATTCTTCCTAGGAAAACATTGTCAGGAATTTGGCAACATCTACATTTGTGAACGTTGCTAAATACCTGATTGGAGAGACTCCTCACTTGCACATTTCATCTATTTCTCATCCCATTTGTATAGCAATTGACTCCATACTGGGGTCACGATTTCTGTCAGCAAACAAAAGCATTATTAGTTTTGCAGCATACTTGAATTTGTAGCTGGGAAATTGTTTTTTAAAGTTCTTTTCAGATACTTGGCTGGGAGATGCTGCTGATGCAAAAGATCTGCTCCTGAAAATCGTTCCAATGAGGCAGTCTTTTGGCTGGGGTCACCATGATACATGCATAGGAATTGGGAGAAAGTTGTTGATTTGCTTACATCGGACAAACTGGCTGATACTCACAAAAAAGTCATAAAACTATATACCTCGTTAAAAATTATAAAAATCACAGGGAAACCTACAGTAGTCTAGCTTGTAGTTTGCACTTTTGAAAACGCAGGATACTCAAAAAAAATTGGGCATATAACATGGAGGACTAAGACTTAAAATATAACTTGTGTGTTAAAGTTGGGATAGAAAACCAGTTAAACTGTTGTCATTAATGAAGTCTTTAAGAACTGTTTGGTAATATATATTACAAATAGTAATAGCGCATGGGTTTTCTTTTGTGCTTTCTAGAAGATGAAATGCAACATGGAGAAGACGGTACTATAGGAAAAAATGGGGTTGTTATATTTGCATGGACACAGGCTATTCCTGAAATTCTTATAAAAGTTGTAACATCTAGACTACTTAAAATGCAGTGCGTTTACAATTAATTTCTTTCATGGCCAGTTTACCAGTATATACATATAGGTATAGTATTGTTTGTCTGTGAGCATTTGTCAAACTAATACCTGGTTTATGTGGGACAAAAATCATGGCAACAGGGAGAGGCATAACAAAATTCCAGGTGCTTAGAAGAATTTAATTTGCTTTTTCCAAAAATTTGTAAGTTTTCTTTCATTGTTTGTTTTTAAGGAAAATCAGGTCTAATTCTTTTCCTTCTTTGCATTTCCTAAGAGTTTCTAAACTGATGTTGGAACTAAATATTTGGTACTTAAACATTTCGGCGCTGGCAGACACACACACACAAACACAAAAGCTCATTTGAACAGTCACTTTCAATACCAAATATACGGATTTTGATTTATACACATTGACTTGCTTTCTTTTGATGTGAGATGCAGCTACTACTTTGAAATGCTGCTTTATCTTTGTTGATTAGCAATTGTTTACTGTAAGACAGAAATTTCATATTGTACTCGGGGTTGAAGTGTGACTCTACTGCTTTAGGCAGCACATCTCCAAAGAGTATTCTCTTTCCTGTAATACTGAAGTATAGTTTGCATTGAAATGGAAGTTTCCCTGACTCTGTGTTTGAAATGAAATGTCTTGAATGTGGTCATGGTACCACCACCTGTATTGACACTTCCAAGTCTTTTCCTCGGGGGGGCCAGTAAAGTTGAGCAAGAAGAGGGGCATCTCTCCTTCTTTCCACCTTTTTTCTGATCTGAGCATCCTCTGCCTCCAGGCCCTTTCCCAAAGCAGAGATGCTCTACTGGTTGTTTTGCTCCAGCTCTGAAGAGGGGTGTGCTGCCTTAGGGTAGCCAGAGGCCTAAGTAGATTGGGCAGCACAGGGTGGTACGCAGAATTAGTACTGTGGCTATGGAGGTAATAGCCATTCTTAATATTTGGTATTAATACAGTGGTATTGCTATATCACCATTGGGAGCATTTCCTTGTGTTTCAAAGTTCTTTTTTATATATTAAATATTTTCATATCAGCATTTAAAGAACTGAAAAGTAATTTTCACAGATCAGTGCAGAATTTAACATTCATTGCACTCTGCCTACATGCATGGTTTTGGAAGTTACGCAACCTCTTTTTATAGAGTTGTGTGTTCTGGTGATCTAGGCTTGCTCAGTTATTGCTTAAAAATCTAAGCGTATTAAGAGCTGTATATGATACAGAACTTAGGTCATGACAAACCACTATGTACCTCTAAATACGAAAATATTTATTTGCAGTCAGGTTCAAGTAGAAATGGCTTCCATCATTATGTATACTGACTTTAAAACTACCGAGTAGAGAAGACTAAGTTGCTGTGATATAGGTCCATACATAGTCTGGTTGTGGAAAGAATTTGCATGGAGATGTTGCATATTTAGTTCAGAGAGAAGAGGGTTGAAAACTAAGTGCCCACCACAGAAGCAATTGCTATTGGTTATCTGCAAACTGCAGTTGCAGGGGAGAGGGAGGGTTGTGGCAGGGCATCTTGTCACCTTGACACCGAGGGAGTGCCCTTCCTGACAGACTGCCGGTCGTTATTCCAAATTGCGGAGGTACTAGATCATCAGAGTGCAATTGCTCAAGCGATTTTTTTAAGATGAGCAAAATGCATTTTTTCTGATCTCGTTGGAGGAGACTGGACCTGTTTTTCAGAAACATTACACACAGAAAAATCAACCTGAGGCAGACACCTGGCATGAAAAAATTTTGCCTGAATGCTAATAGTTTGGCAACATTTTAATAAGCAAATGAAAACAGTATGTAGTAATGGGAATTCAGCTGCAGTGATTGCTGCCAGATCCACCAAGAATAATGGACTTGCATACCAACCCAGACTTACGACAAATATTGTGATTGTAGGTAACTAAATGACCATGGAATCTGGAGCAGAGAACCAGCAGAGTGGAGATGCAGCCGTTACAGAGGCAGAAACCCAACAGATGACAGTACAGGCACAACCACAGATTGCAACGTTAGCCCAGGTATAAAATCATACGGTGTAATAGTTTTACCTATTGGATAATTTTTTTAAGAGGGATGTTGTCTGCTCATGGGCCTGAGAGAAGGTTCCATTGATATGATTCTGAAACAGGTGCGATGTACAGTTGCTTTAATATTTGTCTTCACATTTTTAAAGCACTAGAGATTCTTAACTTCCCATCACACTAGGCTGTGTTAGTTCTGAAGAACTGTATGCGTGTAAACTGTGTAATGTTAACAGAATAATGAATTAAAATATTTCTAGCATTCTTTACCACAACCATACCACTGAAAGGTATTTTTTTCAAAACATGTAATTTACTGTCTTTTTTATATTGACTGGATTGTTTTGCTGTTATGTTTTCTGTTAGAAACTTGTCTATAGTAGTCAGTTTAACTCTGAAGAAAACAAACTGAAAATACAGAAATAATGCAGCAAATAACAACATCTTATCAGATAGGATTAATATTGTAAACATTATAATCGAGTGGACCAACCTGTCATTTGACAGCTCGTGTTATCCTGTTGTCTCCAGAATTTCACAGAATTGTTGGCTGTTTAGAGAGACAGTAGTAGATCATTTATTAGCCCCAAATTATTTTAGAGAGACGAGAAATGCGATCCCTGCTACATCTCTAATTTTGGAACCTGGTTTCATTCTTGGATACACTGATGGTTGGCAGAAGGAACTCCATTGTGTAAATGAGTACAGAATCTGTTCAGCTCTCTTCTGTAACCATTTCATTTTAAAACTATTTGTAGTCTGCAAAGAACAAACAGATTTTTTAGATCTTATAGTTTGAGGAATTGAGTGTCTTTTAAGTGGCACATGTGTTAAATTACTTATCATTTTATAAATGATTAATGTCTTTTTAAAGTCATTGCACCTTTTGGTAAACCAGAGATAGTACACCTCCATTCAAGTGGTAGTATAGGGATTAGAGCTGTTGAAATGCGATGGGTAATTTTGTTCAGTGAAGCTGTAGTGTGAATTTACAGGACACCAGCTGCCCTGCGCCAGCTTGCCTCTTTGGACAGTTTTCTCGCTGTCTAACTTAGGCACAGGATGTAGGTGGTGTGAATAACACTTCAGTGTGAACTGAGTGGAAGTAGTTTATTTCTCTTGCAAAATCAGTAAACTGCTTCTCACTTGGTATGCATTAAGATTTAGTCCAGAGAAGCAAGAATGTTTTAAATTCGTGTGCTAACATACTAACCTCCAGGTAGCTGAACTTACGGATATGTAGTGGGTTGAATGCACTTTACTTGGGCAAAATTACCCCATGAGAATTTTTTCCAAGTAAGAAAAAGCTATACAGCTGTGGTTAAAATCCATGTGAACCACAAATAAATATGTTATATTTTTCCTAACTTCCTCTGTTGTCATTCACTGTATTATTTGCACCTTAGCTTTTTCCCAGGCTTTATATTCCTTGTGGAGGTGATACAGCAGTCTAAACATCGTTCCTTGTCTTGTTCACATCAGCGTTACGTTATTACGATGTTTTTAATATGTGCAGTGGCAGTGTTTGGCATTAGGGAGTGCCCTCAGAGGCTTAGGCAAATCTAAATAACTAATTATGTCAATTTAATTCTTTCATTATCCCTTGTAAGGTCACCCCTCTTGTAAGCTTAGTTTAATTGCTGCATTTTTAGTGAGTTCAGGGTAGTTTTCAGAGTCAAAAGGAAACTCGTTCCAGTTCCACAAGGTATGAGTCAGAGACATCTGCGGAAGTTACACTCTGCTGTTGGCTTAATCCAACCGCAGAGTGGCCTCCAGTTGATCAGCCTTGCTGTCATTGCCAAGGACTGTTTAGTCAGACATGCATTATTAAAAAAGGTCGCTTGGTAAAGGAATATAATTTGCCAGAGGAAAGTGTGCTCATGTTAATCTCAGCCCCAGTTTCTCTCAGATGTGGGTTAAGTACTGCCATGTAATGCTGCAGCCGTTTTCATGAAAAAGGAAGGTAATGGCAAACATAGATTTGTGGATTAGGGAGAGACAGCTGTGGAGGAGAGAGGTCTACATGTAATTCCCCTTAGTTTTGTTGTTAAGGAAGATTTCCTTGTAAGTGGCGGATGTTTATGGAAATTCAGAGATCAGCTACTGCAGCTTTTTGAGAACCACGTGTTCATGGGGAGAGCAGAGGATTTACTTCTGCATTCAGTACATAGCAGCTCTTTGAGATTAGGTCGGACAGCACTGCAGCCCCTTCTCGCATTGTAGCTACATGGATCGAATTTCTTTAAAATGCTGTTGAACACTGGAGGATTGTTAAATTTTCCAAACTTGGGTGTCTAGGAGAAGGCTGGCTAGTCAGTGACCCATGGCCTGGCTGAAGTCTGCCAGAGCAGCTCACGCTTGCCTGCAGTCCTTCCCCGAGGGCTACGATGGTGCGAGTCAGGCGCAAACCAAGGGCCGTGTGCGCTGGGTACTGGATGTGCACCAGGGCATCTGCCCAGCGACGAAGCCACCTTGGTGCGTGGCCCTTCAGCCGCCCATAATAGTTCTTGTGACCTGCCACAGTGAGACTTCCCCGCGCGATGTGAACAGCGTTGTGTGGGTATCGCTGTCCTCACAGCCTGAGCCCCTGCGCAGGACGCGCGTGGTTGCGCAGGCAGTGCTAACGTACCCTGCTGAAGTCGTTGGCCTACCCCTGTTGGCATAGCCTCTATGCCTACAGGTCTGTGCTGGAGAAACAAAGTTGTGTTTAGGAACTGAGGGTTTAAAATGTGGGCCATTTTTCCTCATAGAAATAACTCTGAGACTAGAGTTTGTGTTGACCCGTTACACTGAGTCACAATAAATGCCTACACACCGTTTGTTTCCACGGCAAATCCATGGGTTTTCTGTCTGAATACACATGCAGTTTTCTCTGTTTAAATGGACTTTGCCAACTGCTCAATATGGTTTAGTCTCTAGAAAGTCTGAAAGGTATGACTCCCTAAAAATTTTAACTTCTTGCATCTGGCAAACACTTTGCATTTTCTTGAGTGAGAACAAAAATAGCTCCACTCCCATATGTTTCTGCCTTTGACTCAGCAGTGTCTGTAGGAGTACACCCAAGTCCTAGCAATATCTAACTGAAATAAGCAAAAGGTAATAATGTGTTTTTATTAGGTTACCTCAAAATAGAGGCAGTTGTGTTTTTCTCATTCTTGTCAGTGGTTTTACAAGCGATGTTTGGAGCCTGCAGAAATTCTGCATTACATTAATTTGTAAAGTAGGTCAGATGCTGGGCTTAGGCAGTTCAGGGGGTTTTATATTACGCTGAAACATTTGGGTCGTCTAACTGGGGTCTAGAAGAGACATAATTCTTTCACCAAGAAGTGTTCTTGGTAGTGAAATAAGAAGATTTCGCAATAACCTAATTTATGTTCACTGTCTCTTCTTTGCAGGTATCTATGCCAGCAGCTCATGCAACGTCTTCTGCACCCACAGTGACCTTAGTTCAGCTGCCCAATGGGCAGACGGTTCAAGTGCATGGAGTAATTCAGGCTGCCCAGCCATCAGTTATTCAGTCTCCACAGGTCCAGACAGTTCAGGTACTGACTGAAGAAAATTCCTCTTACATGAATTGGGCCTTTTGAATAGTCCTGCCAGTTCACTGGTTTCTAATGTGTTTGTGTCCTGGATTGTGTTTTTGCTTATATAAACTTTAAGAGCATGTTGAAGGCAAAAACAGTACAGTATTTGCTACTCTGTGACTTTTTTCTGTTCTGGCTTAACCACTTTTCACTTTCAAACATTGCTGAGTTTCATTTCCCTCTAGAATTTGGTTGGTAAGTTTAACAGCTTCATGTTTTTTCTTACCGTATTACTCTACTTTTTCCCTGTACTGTATTTTCATACTTCTTTATTAAGTAAGAGTTCATACTATTTTGAAGTGAACAAAAGGGATTTTTTTTTTTTATAATGTAATCTTTAATCATTAATGAGGCTGATACTCTGGGATGCGAGTCTTTGCTACTTAGAAAATATTTGCATTGGTTTACAAAACAGATGTCTGTATGGTCCTTAAAATAAACCTATCAGTCCTCTCATAAAAATGGTTTTAAAATTTGCCTGTTGAATGTTGTTTGCATTGTAAAGCTTTCTCTTCTGTAGAGCAAGACAGATAATGCAATATGATGACACAGGATACAAGTAGCCTGAAATCTTTAAAACATGTAACTTTTTGTTTTTCCACTTTAAGCCCAGTGTTACTGAACACAGAAAGAGAAATTGCTTGGTGTACAGCAGCTACCCAGGCAAGGACTGTACATAATTCCTTTGCTATTAGTACACTGAGCTCAAAAAAAGTTTAATTTTAAAAAGTAGTAGACATCGTGTCTATTTGATACAGATACTTAGCTGGGTATCATTTTAAAAAATAAGGCATGCATAATTTAAAACTAGGCCGTTCTGATAATAATTTTTGTTTACTCCTTGTCAGCTTTAGGGCTCAGTTTCTGGCAGGCTCTAGCCTCCTCTACCATCGGAGTCAAAAGTTTAGAGTTTTAATCTATCAGAGGTGAGCAGTTTTCAGATAAGTGCACAAGTTACTATCCCAGGGGTGGAAGATAAGAGGCGGACAGTGAAACCATGTTTGGAATTCACCTGGCTCAGTGCGAAGCCAGAACCTGTTTGGAATGCTGCGATATTCAAAGCCCGGTAGTTCACAGTCAGCCTTGGACCTATTCAGGCCCTCTATCTGATAACTCTGAGATCTGGGCGCCAGCAAGCTTTTTGAGCCTTTAGAGGAATCTTCCCTACGGTGCATAAAATGTGAGGCTGTGAGCTATGTTTCTCACGCAGGCATTTCTCTATTCACTATCGTTAGTTTTTGTATATTTGTCACATGTCTCTAGTTTTTTGGAAAACAGTCTCTTTCTATGTATTGGAGATGTTTTTTACATTTTTGGGCACACTTCAAATTTAAAATTATTGAAATACGATTGATACAAACATTTTAGCTTTTCTTCATAAGTCTTTGTCTTTTTTTAGCATGGATGTTCAGAATTGCAGCACTGCATTATGTTTTAGCATCTTCTATGTATGACATTTTCCTGACAATTCCCCACCCCCCAAAAGGCAGTCTCTCTATAACATATCTACCCAATTATTTATAAATTGTTGTTTCTCAACGTCAGTATTTTGCTCTTTGTTTCCAAACTTTTCTGCTATCTTAATTTGGTTTTAGTTTTTCTCTCCCTAAATTTTAATAGAAAATCTGTCTTTGTTTCTTTAAAATGGATGGAAACAAGGAATCACAGAGAGCAAAAAGTGTATGGAATTACTGTTTATATTTTCTTATTGGAGTATTTAAATTATAAAGGACATTCCCACAGGTAGATAAGTGGCTGTGGTCATTCTTCACTGGATCTGTTACTAAACAGCCTGCCCTTTCTGTTCATTGCCTAGGTAGAAACACTGTAGAATACTTGCATTGTAGCGTTTTTCACAGGACGTCAACATTTCCTTAAAATAAAGACATTGGAAATGTCTTGTTAAGTTTGATTGCTGTTCTTATTTACAGATCTCCACTATAGCAGAAAGTGAAGATTCACAGGAATCAGTAGACAGTGTTACAGACTCACAGAAACGAAGAGAAATTCTTTCCAGACGACCTTCCTACAGGTATGGAGGTTAAAAGCAGAGACATTTTGCTTGATGAATGCGTTCTTCACGTGGGAAGACAAACAGTGTGATTGTATAATTATTTTTAGATTTACCATTTAACTGAAATCTCTCTTCTGCAATGTCCTTCCATGGAATAGGATGTAAAGAGATAAGCAAATAGGAAGAGGAAGAAACCTCAACTGTTCCTGTCAGTTAAGACAGAAATGAGCTGAGAATAAGCTAATTGCCAAATTTGTGAAACATTGAGGTATCATTGTGCTAGGTGCCTTAGAGATAGCTTTAATGGATACTTAATACGTGAAATACGCTGAAGCTTTGCAAGAAAGTGGCTTCTGTATGATCTGTAGTCTGCAAAAAATCAACTCTTACTGTTTTTCGTTATTGTCGAAATGCTAGTAGCAATCAAACTTAATTCCTTTCTCCCATGAGACTTTCAATGAACATGTGGTGTTCTGTGGCTCAGAGAGAATATCTGCTTGAGCAAAATTGGTTGTGTTTATAGTTTAAGAAGTCAGGGTATGAGTTGAATGTAGTGATAGGCATCTAGTATCTTTAGTTGTCATAGCAAATACTTCTGTGGTGAGACCAACTGAGGTGCTCCTTCACATGGTGTTAGTCATATGTTACTTTATTAATTAAGCCCTTGCACAGCTTTTTCTGGATGTACTAAGTCTCACTTTTCATTCTTAAAACATGCTAAATAGCATTAAGGAACAGCTCTGGTTTTTTCTTCAGAAAATTCAGATGCTCCTTTTTTCTTTATGAGCATAGCCTTAGAAATATAAGCTAGACTCTAGGCCTGAGCATATCTCACCCATTTTTTTTTTTTTTAGCACTTGCAGATTATTTTCTACCTTCTCCAGCAGCCTTCAAGGCTGTTCTGCTGAAGATGGTGAAAATCATTGCTGAAGATCCCTAGCCATAATAGATCTGGGAAAATATTTTTATTTGTGAGGAGCAGTGTTGCTAACTTCAAGGCTGCCACAGACTTCCTTGCAGTCTGCTTCTGCAGTGAGACACTTGCTTTTACTATATATGGAAGAATGGCTGTATATCGTGAGACAACAGAGCTAAGTAAACAAGCAGCAAAACTGAGAAGAGGGGACTCATGCATGCTAACTTCTCATTAAGATGGACTCCTTTGCACTCACTGATGCCACACTACAGCCTCTGTCCTCAAACCAGATCCTGGTGACTCGGCAAAACTTTGTAATTGTAAAACTTGTATATGCAGCTCAGACTCTGGGCCGGCATAGGGGTCATGTCAGAAAGGCTGAGCCAGACTACAGCTGTGTTTAGTGAGTTCCCAGTTGGCATTATTCAAGCTGCTGTAACAGGCCCCAGAGACAAGATAGGTGCAGATAGGTTCATAGAATTTAAGAGCTGTACCTCTTCCTCAGAAACTCCACCTTGATGCTGCTACTGAAGTACATCATGTGCTCCCCATGTCAGTTCATAGCTCCTATATTTGTAAAGCTGCCACCTTACCTTCTATCTTAAATCCATTTTTATGATGGCAAAGGTAGGTTTTAACCACCAGATCATATCTGACATGAGCTTAAAAAGTGATGAGCTGTAGTTTCTTCTTTTCTATTTTGAGCTTCTTGGGTTTTGTTCCTCATCCTCCCTGCTCTCTCTGTATTTTTTCATCTGTTTTGTCCACTATTTTTTCTGGTCTAACACCTAGATTGCAAACTCTCCGGACAGGAATTTATTTGTCCAAGTGGCGCTTGGCACAGTGGAGTGCTTGTGCAATGCTGGGGTTCCTGCATGCACACAGAGTCAAAACAGCAACAGCAAAGCTCTGTTTGTCGAGTTGCTTAGCAGAGTGACTGCTCTCCCCAAATAGCTCCATACAGATGTTCTGGCTCCCAAAGCCTTACAAAGCTTATTTAAGAAATGACTGTTGTCTTGGAGCTTGGGGTCTACAACTGTGTTTGCTTCATGACGCTTCTAGTGACAGTCCACAGGATAACATCTGAGGAGGATTACAAAAAACATTGCCCTTTACCTAAGTAGCATTTTGCAGTGACAGAATATGCCAGCAGTGAAAAGGGCTTGACAGTCCTCTGAGGGATAGTGTTTGGTCTAAATGATGCAAATTGCAGTAACTGCTACGGTCAGTCTTACAGTCATGTTCAGTGGGACCTGTAGCCGTGATGTTTTAGCAGTTTTAGCTTTGGATAATTAACCCATGGAAGTAATTAAACAAACTGTTCTTTCCTCTATCCATGCTAATCTCACAGCTTTCTCAGGCAGGGCACATGTAAATGCAACTGTGTGACTTCACTCAAACGCTCGTCATTGTCTCCCAGGCAGGTGTTAGATTATAAACTGGTTGCTCTTTACAAGCATTTCTGCTAATTCCTTTATACTCAGCTGTCTGGCAGAGGCCTTTATGGTCTCCGAAACAGAGCAGTTCCCCTGATCTAAGTGAGGAGATAGGTTTTTACATACTTTTGCTTTCTTCAACTCTTTATGTGGCTAAAAGCAGTAAACAAGTAAAAATGGATGAGAGAGAAACATGTTTTTAAGAAAAAGGGAAGGTTGTGATAGCTGTATCTTGGTTTGAGAAGAACCTGTTGAGAAGCACCTGTGTCTTGTGTTGATAAGCACAGCTGTTCTGTGCTGGCTCCCTTGCCCATCTGTGCATGGCACTTTGAACAATCCTCTCCAATAAGAGTTTGAAGATAGTGCGGGGTTTTCATTCTGCACCCCTATTTTCCTTGCTGGCTTACTGCACTTTTCAGTTTTCTCCAGCATTATGTATCAAATAGACTTTTTTTTTTTTCCGATTTTTATTAAAATCTCTACAACACACTGTCTTTGCCAGAAAAATTTTGAATGACTTGTCCTCAGACGCCCCAGGAGTGCCAAGGATCGAAGAAGAAAAGTCTGAAGAGGAAACAGCAGCACCTGCCATCGCCACTGTTACGGTGCCAACTCCCATTTACCAAACCAGCAGTGGGCAGTACAGTATGTAGTCTGAATTTCTCAGTGGTGCTAGTAAGTGGGGATGAGAAGATGAAGAACTATTATTTCTATAACTGTTTGGACTAGGACAAAGCAGGAGGCGAAAATAAGATTACTTAAATTTGACTGTTTGATAGCCATGCCTTTTAAACACATTCCTATTGTAAGTATTTGAAATGTTCAATTAACATTCTGGGACTGCTTGCCAGTTAGCGCAGCTAATGCATCCTGAGGCAAAATATGAATTAACCATAATGCTATTATAAACTTTTTAACTTCAGGAACCAGATGAAGTAATTCAGAAGTTTCTTTTTTTCCTGGCAGATTGTTAATCCTGGTTCACAAAATTTTAACCTCACTGACAGAAAAAACATTGCAGTCTGCAAGTACATTTTTAGAAAGTCCTGAAAAAATAAGAACTTCAGCAACCTTATTTAAAATATGTAATAAATGTATGTTTCTTTGTTTTCTTTATTCATTAGATAGTATAGATAACAGTGCTTTGACTTAAAGCATTGAGGCTACAGCAGTAAAGCTAGAATTCACATCCTGTCTCACACAAACACAGTATTAAATATACAAAAGAGAGAAAGAACTACTTGTTTACATCTTTTAAAATCTCTTAAAAATTTTGTATTTCTGTTTACTCTTTAGCAACTTTGCCTAATACCCTACTTAATCTTATTGAAACTGATGTGGTTAACTCTGCTTTCCTACTGTAAAATAACTGCTTGTGCAGACGCTTGAAATTTTGGTGTGTCTGTATATAGGAACACAGTGAAATTCTGTGGAATCATGAATGAGGGGTGATGTCTCAGTAAACCTGCATGACAGGATTGAGGGAAAGAAAGGAAAAATACCAACAAAGTAAGACTGCTTGAAGGAAAAAAAAAATGTGTGGAAATAGACCTTTGTGAATGAAAACACTGCTAGGAAGGTTCTGAGGAAGTTGTAGAGAAGGGGGGATACAGTCAGAACAAAAAAAATGCCAAAGCAAGAAGAAAGTGAAACACAAAATGGATAGCAATAGCAGCAGAGGAAACTGAAGGGCATAAAGCATGGAAGAGGAGAGGAATTTCAGATGAGAAGAAAAAAGAAAGGACTGAGGAAAAGAACTAAACCAACCAAGAAGAAAATCTTAACTAACAAATTAAAAAGCATTCCCCAGGGGAGGATTGTAGCTTCTCTGTGTGATGCTGTTTTATCAGAGAGTCTAATTTGTGGTTTAGGCTGTGGTTTTTGGCCCCCAAAAAATATGGGTGTTGTGGTTTAACCCCAGCCAGCAACTAAGCACCACACAGCTGCTCACTCACTCCCCTCCGATGGGATGGGGGAGAGAATCAGAAAGGGAAAAGTGAGAAAACTCATGGGTTGACATAAAGACAGTTTAATAGGTAAAGCAAAAGTCATGCATGCAAGCAAGACAAAATGAAGAATTCATTCAGTACTTCCCATCAGCAGGCAGGTGTTCAGCCATCTCCAGGAAAGCAGGGCTCCATCACACCTAACGGTTATTTGGGAAGACAAAACGCCATCACTCCAAATGTCTCCCCCTTCCTTCTTCTTCCCCCAGCTTTATATGCTGAGCATGACTTCATATGGTATGGAATACCAACTCCCATTTACCAAACCAGCAGTGGGCAGTACAGTATGTAGTCTGAATTTCTCAGTGGTGCTAGTAAGTGGGGATGAGAAGATGAAGAACTATTATTTCTATAACTGTTTGGACTAGGACAAAGCAGGAGGCGAAAATAAGATTACTTAAATTTGACTGTTTGATAGCCATGCCTTTTAAACACATTCCTATTGTAAGTATTTGAAATGTTCAATTAACATTCTGGGACTGCTTGCCAGTTAGCGCAGCTAATGCATCCTGAGGCAAAATATGAATTAACCATAATGCTATTATAAACTTTTTAACTTCAGGAACCAGATGAAGTAATTCAGAAGTTTCTTTTTTTCCTGGCAGATTGTTAATCCTGGTTCACAAAATTTTAACCTCACTGACAGAAAAAACATTGCAGTCTGCAAGTACATTTTTAGAAAGTCCTGAAAAAATAAGAACTTCAGCAACCTTATTTAAAATATGTAATAAATGTATGTTTCTTTGTTTTCTTTATTCATTAGATAGTATAGATAACAGTGCTTTGACTTAAAGCATTGAGGCTACAGCAGTAAAGCTAGAATTCACATCCTGTCTCACACAAACACAGTATTAAATATACAAAAGAGAGAAAGAACTACTTGTTTACATCTTTTAAAATCTCTTAAAAATTTTGTATTTCTGTTTACTCTTTAGCAACTTTGCCTAATACCCTACTTAATCTTATTGAAACTGATGTGGTTAACTCTGCTTTCCTACTGTAAAATAACTGCTTGTGCAGACGCTTGAAATTTTGGTGTGTCTGTATATAGGAACACAGTGAAATTCTGTGGAATCATGAATGAGGGGTGATGTCTCAGTAAACCTGCATGACAGGATTGAGGGAAAGAAAGGAAAAATACCAACAAAGTAAGACTGCTTGAAGGAAAAAAAAAATGTGTGGAAATAGACCTTTGTGAATGAAAACACTGCTAGGAAGGTTCTGAGGAAGTTGTAGAGAAGGGGGGATACAGTCAGAACAAAAAAAATGCCAAAGCAAGAAGAAAGTGAAACACAAAATGGATAGCAATAGCAGCAGAGGAAACTGAAGGGCATAAAGCATGGAAGAGGAGAGGAATTTCAGATGAGAAGAAAAAAGAAAGGACTGAGGAAAAGAACTAAACCAACCAAGAAGAAAATCTTAACTAACAAATTAAAAAGCATTCCCCAGGGGAGGATTGTAGCTTCTCTGTGTGATGCTGTTTTATCAGAGAGTCTAATTTGTGGTTTAGGCTGTGGTTTTTGGCCCCCAAAAAATATGGGTGTTGTGGTTTAACCCCAGCCAGCAACTAAGCACCACACAGCTGCTCACTCACTCCCCTCCGATGGGATGGGGGAGAGAATCAGAAAGGGAAAAGTGAGAAAACTCATGGGTTGACATAAAGACAGTTTAATAGGTAAAGCAAAAGTCATGCATGCAAGCAAGACAAAATGAAGAATTCATTCAGTACTTCCCATCAGCAGGCAGGCGTTCAGCCATCTCCAGGAAAGCAGGGCTCCATCATGCCTAACGGTTATTTGGGAAGACAAAACGCCATCACTCCAAATGTCTCCCCCTTCCTTCTTCTTCCCCCAGCTTTATATGCTGAGCATGACGTCATATGGTATGGAATAGCCCTTTGGTCAGTTGCGGTCAGCTGTCCCGGCTGTGTCCCAGCTTCTTGTGCACCCCGAGCCTCCTTGCTGGTGGGGTGGTGTGAGCAGCAGCAAAGGCCTTGACTCTGTGTAAGCACTGCTCAGCAATAACTAAAACATCCCTGTGTTATCAACATTGTTTCTAGCACAGATCCAAAGCATAGCCCCATACTAGCTACTATGAAGAAAATTAACTCTATCCCAACCAAAACCAGCACAATGGGTCTCACAAAAAATTGAAAACTTACTTTCAAAGCATGATTTCTTCAATGTAAATTAAAGCCATGTGTCTGATTCGAGAGTGTATAAGGGTTCAAGGGATTTAACTCAGACCAGTATTCTTCCATATCTAGGTTTAATACTGTAAGTTAATGAGTAAATTAGTGTCTTAAATGTTGTGTCGATTTTTTTTTCTTCAGTTGCTATTACCCAAGGAGGAGCAATACAGTTGTCTAACAATGGCACAGATGGAGTACAAGGTCTCCAGACGTTGACTATGACCAATGCAGCTGCAACCCAACCTGGCACCACCATTTTACAATATGCACAGACCACAGATGGACAACAGATACTTGTACCCAGCAACCAAGTTGTTGTACAAGGTGAGAAACTTCAGAGACAGTCATTCTGTATGACATTTTCTCCATGCAGATAAAAGGTGCCAACCTAACTCCTTCATATGTGTCAGGAAACAGAATTAACAGCTTTGGCACAGATAAATCTCCAAAATGATTAAAGGAAATTCTGGACAAAGCTATTTGTCATATTTTCTTGGAGCATTTCCCTTCAGATTGATAAAATTGTGGATATTTTGGGTTTACTTCTTAAAACAACATATTTGGTTTTGGTTTTCCATGCTGTGTTTCCTGCATTTTGTCCACATGGGTTTTTTTCATATGTTCTCCAAAAACTCATACCACTTCAGAGTTCTGAGTTCTCCCAGATAGTCATCTGCAACAACAGTAAATACAAAGTGAAGCATTAAAGTTAGGAAAGAAGGTTGTTTGATACTTTCTTTCTATAAGGACACTTCAATTTATTAGTAATTTTTCCTTCTTTTCAATTACAAGTCATAATTTCTTCCTATTGTGGCTTTTGTAACTAGTCACCAAGTACTTAAACACTGAGTCTTAGAATCATAGAATAAGTTGGGGGTTTTTATTGTATTAAAATATATGTGTTGTTTTATTAAAAATTGGGGGGTATTAAAACTTTGTTTATTAAAAATAACAGAAAAATGTACCCCTGCTTTTATGATTGTAAAGCAGGTGATTTGAAAGTTATCCAGTGAAGAGGTCTCCAGGCATCAGTGAAAATACATAGCTGAGAAAAATACTATTGTTGCATTGATCTTCTGGTTTTTGTGTTCTTAAGGACAAGTGATTTCTTTAGGTGGTATCATTTTTTTTACGAGCTCAGGCAAATATAGCACACTCCTAGATTACAATAAACAAAGAAAAGAAACTCAAGACCTGGTTCATTCTAGAGAAGTAGTGAAGTCGAGTGCCTAGCTTGCACTGTCTCTCTCTTGTTGGAGTAATTGCTACATTTCTACACAGTTTTCTGTGCCAAATACTTACACATGCAGTTTCTCCTTTTGCAGATAGACATTTGGAGCAAAGCTAGAAATAGTTTGCCATCCTTCATCTTCTTAAAACTGCTAAAATTGCCCAAAAAACAGAGAAATAAAAAGAAATGTGCTAAGGGAGAAAGAAGCACAGCAGTACAGCAAGACAAATCAAGTTGTCAAGCACAAGTGGAGACTTCTTCAGCAGCAATGCCCAAAACCTTGCATACGTTAATAAACTAAGACTGAGATAGCAATGATGACCCGGATGATGGTCATCGCTCCTGTACTGTAACCCAGAGTGCATGGTTAGGTGACATTGGTGCTTTTTGCACTACGTTTAACAGCACTGTCACCAAACCGACATGATGTTCCCTTGTGTCTTTCAGCTGCCTCAGGAGATGTGCAGACCTACCAGATTCGCACCGCCCCTACCAGCACCATTGCACCAGGCGTAGTCATGGCATCTTCTCCAGCACTTCCAACCCAGCCAGCAGAAGAGGCTGCACGGAAGAGAGAAGTGCGTCTAATGAAGAACAGGCATGTACATTTAGAACACCTTTTTTCCAGTCAGCTCTGCATAGAACTAGAGTGTTAAGCACTAAGAATCCTGATCTATCTTAGTCATTTTTTTGAAATACTTTCTGAAGAATTTGCCTCTATTTAAAGATGCAAAGCAAAGAAGCACATCTGCTAATGCCATGTATTGTGACTATGAAACCTTAAGTAAAGGTGTCAGACTCATTCTGTGAGGTGTGTGCATTTGTTTATTGCCGTAAGGAGAAAAGTCATTGGTGACAGACTTGTATGACCGCAGATATGTTCTTACAAACACTGAGGTGAGCTGATTTTTTTTGAGTTAATACATTCATGTAGTTTCCTTTCCTGGATTCTTAACCTTAGCCTTCCACATGCATTCTCCTTGCTTCTGGCCGACCTACACTCTTCACGAGTGCTTTCTTGATTGTCTCACTTGTTCTCTTTAGCTGCTTGCCTTTTGGGTTTTATCCTCTGGAGGCAGAAAGACTCAAGGAAAGGCTAAATGAGCAGCTACTCCTTTTGATGTCTGTGGAGCCAGTAGTGGCAGCAGAGGGGCTGAAAGAGAGAGAGAGGAGACTTGACCCTGTAGGATTTAGTGTGTGAGGAGGAACAGCCAAGCCTACTGAGGTGGGTGTGGTGGAGGCAGTGAAGGAAGGGAGCAGCAGAGAGAAGTTGGGCACGGTGCTCCTTCAGCCTACTGCTGTGGGAGAGGGAAGGCGTGGGCCTGAGCTGACCCATCACACCGAGCTTGAACTCCATCCACAGGTTTGAGCTTTTATGTTACACTGACACTGGGAAAATAGCAGTGCTTCCCTGCCCTCTGAGGAGGGGAAGCCCTATGAAAGCACTGTTTACTTCATCTGTCAGTCTGAAAAAACAGTTATGTTGTACAGGTGCATTTATCTTCTGTAGATTGCTAAGCTGTGAACAAAATAGAAAGTTACAGGAGCAGACCCAATGCTTGTCTGAGGAGCTTTAATGAAGTAAATAATGCTGAACAGTAGAGTTCACTTTTTTAAAAGGTTTTTGTACAGAATGTCACCCATCTCCCCTTTTTATATATTTTTCTGATATCAGTGAATAGTAGATGTCACCCTTTCAGGCTCTGCATTTGAGAAAAAATTAATTAGCATTCTGAATCCCCTCATTTAGTCAGCAGTCTTAGTCCAGTAAAAGAAAGCTTTTGTGTTTGGGAAAGCCAAGAAAAAAAATGGGGAATTACCCCCACTTGAGTTAAATTGACAGCTTTTGCAACAGTATCATGTTGCATGTGGTGCTTTTAGCCTGCCTGCTTAATAGGTATTTGCAAATCTGGGCTCCATAGCAAAGCAGGAGAAAGGGATATAGAGAGGCAGATGGTGAGGTGGTACTTATTGGAGGATTATAGCGTAAATATTCATAGATATTATTGTGCAAATTTTCTGTGTAAATTTTACATTTTAAAAGCTCTCTTGTAATTCAGTATAACTCTAGCTGTTCATAATGAATAACTAATGCACACAGACTTGAGGTGGCTTAATATGCAGCCCAAGCTGGCACAAAAATCACAAAAAGAAAGAAAAAGTTGTCACCCAAGAAGACAGGTTAGTAGTTTGCACTGAGAGGCACTTCCTGATCCAGTAGTACTTAATCTTTTGGTGACACAAGTAACAGCCCAAAATTATTTAAATCCTAAATGTTGCACATGGCCCACTAAAGTTCTGCAAGCCATGTGAAATTGTAGGAGTGACAAATGGATACCTGAGTCCTTTCAGGGCTTACAAACTAGGTTTTCTTCATCCTGTCTCATCTGTGGATCTGAATTTCAAAAATTACTTTTAAAGTCTTCTTACCAGGTAGGTCCTGGAACAGACATTCTTTTTTTTACCTAGTACTACAACGACTATTTATCTAATAAGTAGAAGAACTAGGTTCAATTTTGTCCTCATTTCTCAGAACATTGACCCTGTCACCAATCTATGCAGTATTTGCAATGAAGGGACACTCTCCTTTTGAAGCTGCTCTGCTTTGCACCTAAAGGTTCAGGGCAAACAAGCATGTACGTTTCCATACATGTGCAGTGTGCTGCTCTGACAAGATGCATTGCAGGAGGAAAGCCCTCTGCCTGGACTCCCATCCACCTGCAGCATTTAGCCTTGTGCTTACTTTGCATATCGGTGCCATTATTGCTGCTATGCAGGATAGCTTCTGCCTTGGTGCTACTGCCTTCAGGATGCTCAGCAGCACAGTAACACCTTTCAGATATTTTTTCATTAGTGTTCTTAGTATTTTACCAAGTTACCTACAGGCATCTCAGTCTTTACAAGCAAGCCTTAAAAGTTTGACTGTCGAGATCTGCCTTAGCACATTAACACTGCCATGTTCTTGGCACAGCAGACAGGGACTAAAGGATGATACGGTTGCTAGTGACTGTTTATTTTGTGGGTTTTTTATTTGAGTAATTCATTGCAGTGATGCAGACATTATTAATAAAATGAAAGTATTGCTCGAGAGCAAATACTTGAATGCTCTAAATATAACTTTTTTTGCACTGGTTGAACATCCTGACCAATAGTATTTGGTTGGACTGCGGCAAAGAGAAAAGTTAAGACTATAAAGAGATTAATAGGTGAACATTGGTCTTATCCATGTTTTTATTATTCATCTATTTATTATACTAAAATCTATGAAATTATTGCAGCAGCATTCAACTCAGCATAAAGGCTCTAATGTAAATCCTGCAAGCAGAATTTTGTCATTGAATAGGATCCTTTTCTCACAGAAGCAGAATTTTATTGGTGCTGACTTACTGGGATCTGCGTGTTGAAATGATCTGTGAATCTTGAGTGTGTATGATTTGTGAGAAGCAATTGTTATGAACTCAGCTTTTTTTCCTAACTTGCATTTCTTAATAATACCTCCATATTCTAAAAATGGTAGTACTAAGTAAAGGTTTGACCTGAACAGTTAAGTAGCCCGTGTCTGCAAGTAATAGTTCTGGATTTGAATGGCCTTTTTTGCTTTGCAGAGAGGCAGCACGTGAATGTCGCAGGAAGAAAAAGGAGTATGTGAAATGTCTAGAAAATAGAGTGGCTGGGCTTGAAAACCAAAACAAGACACTGATTGAGGAGTTGAAAGCACTTAAGGACCTTTACTGCCACAAATCAGATTAATTTTGGATTCCCGTTTTCATTTGTCCAGGTGGGATAGAGACTGGTTCTGGGTATACCCAGAAAGACAAAGTAAACTTTTTATTTTCTAAACATTTCTTTTTTTCTATGCGCAAAACTGCCTGAAGCAACTACAGGATATACTTCATCTGTGCTTTGCATCAAACTGTGAATGTTCAAGTACTTGCCTCCTCTTCTCCCCCTACAAGATTATTTTCATCATCAGTCTCAGCGTGAAGAAGAACAACAGGCTTCTTTCTCGTCTCCCCATCCTCTTCAAGGAGTAACAGTGGTCACTTGGGAAGTTACTGCGGGGAGGGTCCTTTTGTAATGATTTCAAGAATTCGTGCTGAGCTCTTTCCATTGCCTTAGAGACAGAACCACCCCAGCCTCTTGGTCCGGAGAACTGCGGGCCACATACGTGGAGCATCCATGGTGCAATGAAGAAGCAATGGTTGCCAAATTGGTTTCACATATTCATTATGAACTATAAAAATACACAGCTAAGCAGCATGCCAAACGAAAGGCGCTTCACAGTCACGTTCTTGGTGTGGAGATAACATACCTTTTTCAAACTAGCCCAGGAGGGGTTTTGATTTGTAATCTGTGTTAAGCCCTCCTGGACTAGTAAAAACTTCTCCATACTCCAGAAACAAATGCATTGAAATGAGCTTCACTGGTCAGTTGTTGCTTCTTAAAGCTTATGTGTGCAAGTGTGTTCAGCATTCTGAATGCACAAAAAGCAAACACCAACCTCATAGGATATTGGTTGGGAAATGATATTGGGATGGGAGAGGAATTCAGAACAAAAAAAGTACAATAGTGACGTTTAGAAAACAGTCACGTAGTAAGCAAGGGTAACACATGAAAGCACTACCTATTTGTATGCAGAACAACTAAGCAGTTAAAGCATGGCCAATTCCACATACATACTTGCTGATGACAGTATAGTCTGTGTCCCAAGTCCTCTCAAGCAATGAGGTTATTTCTATTTCCCTACCACTATCTTATGTAATGGCAATTATTGTACGAAGTGGAAACATCAGCCTGGCTTGCTAGATTCTTCTTCAAACTTTGAGGATGCCTTCCATGCATAAATTAAATTGCAGTATGACAACTACTAGGACAACCTCAAATATTGAAGAGGACTTCAAACACAAATATTCCAACTTCTGCTTCGCAAGGGACAATATTAATTATTTGAACCTGGCCAGGCTAGCTAAATTCTTAATTTATTCAGAGGATTTTTTCATGTAAAGGGTCAGATTTACCGAGTAATTTATTTCTGTAAGTGAAATTACTCATATGCCTCAGACGTTTGCAAGATCAATTTTTTTGTGTGCACTGAGGAAATGTGATCTTTCCCAGATTTACATTGTTAAAAAGGTAGTTCATGTTTAAAAACAACTCTGTACTACTCATTAGGACTTCAAAAGAATCATGCTCAAAAAGAACCAAAAAGGAATGTCAAGAAGTCATCAAAAAGAATGTGTCAAAAAGAATCATGTGCAGTTTGTTTACTGGCCCTCTGAAGCCAGTCTCTTGATACATTAACTTGGGTCATTTGATGGAGTAAGTTTACTTTGGGCTTATGGTCAAACTTTCATGTATAGAGACATATGAATAAGACTCTGGTCTGTACTAATGCCTTGCCTAGTGAAGTATTAGCTAATATTTTTTCCCATTCACTCTATCTGTTTTTAAGATAAATTTCAAACACGAGCTTCTAAAAGGTTGTACACAATCAATGTGGCGTTATAAGAAGAACATCTGGAAGACTCTGGGCAGTTGAGCCTCAAACAGCTAAGCAGTATTAAAAGTTCTAGTTTTCTCATTTGAGAGGGCATTCAGTTTCCAAGAGACTTTAAAAGGAGCAGGGTTAAACTTGTAGTGTTATTGTTAAATCTAGAGTTATCAATGATTTCAAATTATGTTCGTATTTCAAGAAGAGAACATAAGTATCAGAATTATGAAAGAATTCATTTTCACAAGTTTTGAGGGGGTTTATAAATGGTCTATTTTTATCTGCCATAGAGAATTGATTTTCATGTTTTTATTTAATGGAAGATGAATCTATTAGTTTAGCAATGCAAATTTAAAGAAGACCCTAAATTCTCAGCAATGCTTTTATAAAAATTGTCTGATTATTAAAGTCAGAGAACACAAATACATACAACGGTTACCCGTTTTTCAGAACTAGTGCTAAAGCAGAAATGTTGATAACGCAGGAGTCATTCTTGTAAAACATGAAGCTGACGATGGGCTAACTCACACAGTTACATGGAATGGTTCCTCCAATTGCGAGAAACACAGAAAAAGCTGTACATGGCTACATTAAGGCTGTTTCTTTTGTAGAACAATCTGTTTGCAAAAACTTGAGTTTTTGCAGTGAACCTGAATGAGGCTAGCCGTGATCTGAGAGCTGTTCCTAGTGGGTAACAAGCACTGTCTAGCACTTGCTGAGAGTCACTCGGCACAAAACCTGGGAGCTGAATGGACCGGGGAGCCTAAACGGGTACCAAGACAGGGTTCTTCTAGTAAAGGTTTGGTGCCAATCTGTGCGGCAGTGAGAGGAGAACTATGTTACTGGTTTGTCTGTGCGTGGTCTGTGAGTAGTCTGTAGTGTTACTAGTCTGGACCTCATTAGCAACTAACGTTTCACTAAGAAAAAGAACGTTATTTTAAAGTACATAGGGATCTGAAAGAATCTTTATTTTTATTTATGCTGCACTGAGGATTTAGGGACTTGAATTTCTTTAATGGATGTTTTAAATGACAATAGTAAAAAATGTATTAGACCAAGTACAGGGCTGGCTAGAGTTACCCATACATTCTTTACTATTCATATTGACCCAGAAAGGGAAAGAATATGACGCAGGAATCCATTCATATGTTATTTACCAAGTAGTGAGGTTGGGGTAATCAGCTTCTATAAACTAAGGCCATTTGGAAATAGGATGGAAATTATGCTGGCAAGGGGGAGGGAGGGTTAGTTTTATATCTCACGGTTGTGAGTTTTCAAGAACTGATAGCCTGTTTTACCTGAAGAGAGGGTTAGAAAGGGCTAGATCCATTATGTTCATAATAAACAAGAATTGATTTGAAATATAATTTTTGTAATGTCATTATTTTGCAAAACAACAGCACCGATCAGGCAGTTAAGATATTGTCAGAGGTGCTCTTTTAATTTAGATATTCTTGGAAAATACATATGTATAATATATGTATATATATATATACACACAGTATATAATCTACAGCTCTGAGAGCTTTTAAGTCAGGAATGCTGAGTATTATAGTATATGGAGGTCAGAAAAAATTTTTACTTTTCTGTGTGTGTCTGGGTGTGTGTGGATGTGTGCGCGTGTGTGAAAGCTTCCCCCTGCCCCAGTAGTTCTGGGCTGCATTATTCTAGCGCTTATTACTGATTTGTTTTGTGCTGTTTCTCAGTTATCCATTTTCAAGAATTTTATTTCATCTTTCATGGCTTTTGTGAGGTTTGTTTTTGTTTTTTATTGATGAAGATTTTTGAAACTACGTAAACAGTTGTTTTACAACAACCACCACCCCCCAGAATAATTCACTTTTGTGCTTTTTCTCTTTGGCAGCTATATATCAAAGGCAAAACAATTGGAAAGGTTGTTAAGGTGTTATTTTCTGCAGGAACCACTGGTAAGACTTCTGTTTTCCTCCTGGGGTAGTGGTGATGCATTTTTATTTAAGCAGCGATTTCACCAGAATCAGGTAGTTGCCAGCACCATTGCTTGTATTTGAAAGCACAATTTTCGCCTGTGATGCTCATCAGGACTGTACAGACACCTGCAGGTTCTGGCTCTTCTGTAGTTGGCGTTTGCGTTGCAGACCACTGTCTTCTCTGGTACTTGTAGGTTGATCAGAAAATTGGTGGGGTGTTTGGAATCATTAAGAGGCTCAGGAAAAAAAAAAGTTAGATTTAATAAGGAAAAACAGCCCTGATAGTTTCTGATCTAAATTTGTACTACAGGTTTTTTTAAATCTGGGCTTCCAGTAAACTGCAACTGCAAGTAGTCATCTGTTAGCAAAAACTGGCCTCTGCTTTTTTATTTTATATTTTTTTTAATTTATGACAGACAGTGCTTTTTGTGGGTTAAAGTAGAGGCAAGTCTCCCCATCAAAGCAAGTTCATTATCAGTGGTTGCAAATCTATGACAATTCATAGAGGATTTCATTGCTTTTCTAAGACCCTGTTTTTATTGTCATTTTTTCACTCTGAAGCTGGTTAGTGATGTAACATTTGCCAATGATCTAACCAAAAGGTCATGTATTTATTTTTGCTACAGTATATTCTTTGTAAATGTTTAATTAAAATGTGCACTTTTAAAAAAAAAAAAAACACAGAACAAAAAAAAAAAAAAAAGAGCAATTGGGTTTGCTTGAGAAGCTCCCTGGCACAATTGTTGTAATCCTGCTGCCTGCAGACAATTCACTCCTCTCCCCACAGCAGTTGACTCCCCCGCAAATTTAACTTGCTGATTAGCACCTGGCGTCCAGCAGGCATTACTTCAAAATGGCAGGAGATCTGAACTGGCAGTACTGGAAAGAATTAAGTGTGTGGTGTCTCAGAGCAGTATGTACAGGATGGATGTGAAATTATTTTTAGAATAGAACTAGTTCAGTGATCCCAAGTGGGAAAGGGAGGTGAATTTGGAAGGAAAGCTAAACTATTTTTCAGCCACTTTATTCCCCTTTACTTAATTTGAGATTTGGCTGCAAATTTTACAGGCTGCATTCCAAGAAAATAAATCGAAAGACTTTCCAATTCTTTGAATCCAGGAAGTAAAGGTACATTGACAATGTGTCACCCTGCTTTAAAAGATAAAAAAAAAAGCACAACCACCTTTCTTTTGCAGGAACAATGACAATTTAGCTATAACCCTGAAATCTGTCACTGTGAGCAGATTTTAAAAGCATACAGTACATTGATGGTTCTCTGTACTGTGCCTGGGAACTCATTTCCCTGAGCTTTTGAATTTGCTAGCTGTAAAAGACACTGATTTTGCAGAAGCCTGAATGTATCATGAAGCTCAGTTGGTCTGGGAGGAGCCAGACTGATGAAGAGAAACAGGGTGCTGAAATCCTATATCTGCTGTGTGCTTGTGACAGGTTCAGGTCTGTGGATGGATATGGCTTAAATCTGTACATCTTTGGGGAAAAGGGACCAGATCCAGTTGGTAAAGAGGGTTTGCATTTCAGGTGTTTTGCCTTGGAATGTGTATTTTAAATGTATTTAAGCTCTGGCCCACAAAGAGACTTGCTTGGGCTAGTTTGCGTAGCACAAATTGAAGACTGTGACCTGTCTGCACTCTGGTACTGCAAGCGCAGTTTGTGACTTGCTGTATGACTGGTGAGTTCAGGTCTCGCTTTCACCAGCGAGAGGCAGGAGAAGTCAGCTGTCCTAAGGAGCTGTGTGCTGGCAGGGAAGGGGACGGGGACAGGCTGTAATGATCCACGGTTGGCTCACTTCATAAGCTGACCACTTACTGTACTCACAACTTGGGAGCAGTCAGTTCACTTGGTCTCAGCCTCAGCTATGTATTTCTCTAAATTAGGGGGTAGCTGAGTGAGAGCACGGGGAAGGAAGGCCTTGAGCCAGTTAGTTACCTGGAAATGGCCACTCTTAAGAACTAAGGATGTTCGGATGCTCTCCACAAGTTGTGTTTCATCCAGGTGCCACTCCATTTTTTTTTTGTGTATAATGACATTTATTTATATTAAAACATTAATTTTAAAAAGTTCTAGAACTTCGAGTTTGTATGAGATTTGAAACTGTGCTGCTTATATGGACTTCTAGGGATGGGATGGGGAACAGGGCAAGAGGTGCTAGTTGGCAGCCAGCCCCTCCACAGACTTGTCCACAGATTGGTTGTTCACTTAAAAAATGAGTTGTTTCTACTCTGGATTTATAATTTGAAATTGTTTTGGAACAACGTTTTTCAGGGAAGCTTCCAGAGCGAGGGTTATTATTCTCCCTTTGTAATGTAAGCTGGAAAGAGCAAGTTCACCTCATCTGCATTTCTGATTCTTTACCCAAACCATGTCAGCACAGAACAGGGTATTTGAGCTCGACTCCCACATACTTGTGGAAGTTAAAAGACTAAATGAAAATCCATTATTGGGGGAAAATAAATTCTTATTTACATTTCCCCAAAAATCTAGAAACATCCCTGTTGTGTTTTTTTTTTTTACTTAATTTTTTGTGCTTTATCTGTGTTTAAAAAAAAAAATTGTACTGGGTTATAATGCATTTTATTAACACTATGTACATATTAGCTGCTTTGTGTTTCAGAATGGTAGTAATTGCTTTGTATATTAAAGTGATTCTTGTGAATTTGTGAATTATTGTCATAAAGAAGTGCTTTTTCTTACTGTAACCTTTGTGGTATAAACTGTCA